AACCTACCAAAGTTACCCCGTTTGACGGTACGAGAAAACCGTGGTACCATCACCTTTGTCGCTCAGATATGTTAAGTCTGTCTGTGTGTAGCTGGGATGGGTTCGTTTGAGTGAGTCAGTAGTAGAGTGGGTCGGCGTACCTTACGGACGTGGCTTCCTTGGAGGACATTGCCTTGAATCTTCAAACATGGTTATCTTGCATGTTATTTCATGTCCAGATGAATTTGAACGTTGAATGACATTTAGTTTCCAATGGGCACATGGGAAGATGTCAGCTAGGATTTGCAATAATTAAAAAACACTACTTGGTCATCTTCCGTTCTCGTTTACATGGAAGTTATGAAGTCAGTTCCATTTCTCAGGTAAAACTTGAGATTTATTCCTGACTATTTTCTCGATTCCTACAGCCACACCCAGCATTATTGTACCATCTGTACCCGATCAATGTACCCAACCAGGACAGTCGTCCGTGTATGTGGCATGGAATGCAGTGTATGGAATTAACACCAATGGGGCTACTATTAACTGCATTGAGAGGGGAATTCAGGTTTCATTAAGTGGAGGCATCACTTTGGATGTTGGATCTTACACCGTGACCTGCCGTGTTGCAGTTGGTGACTGCGTCTCGACAAATAGTTTCTCGTTCCGTGTCATTGGTAAGACCTTTTCATCGGAGTAGACACCTAAGTCTCCATCACAAAGTGAAGCTTTGTTTTGGAAGAATAAAAAAACTTATTAAAAAAACAAATTACTGTGTGGTTTATGTGGCAGTGAACTATGGTGGATCGAGTCCAAAGATGATTTTAACAAATGAAAGGGGTTCTAATTGGATTTTCGTTTTTTAAAACATGTAGCCCACTCTCTGAAAATGAGTCTTAAGTCGCTATAGCCACTTTTTTATATTGGAAAGACTGAATTGAGTTTTTTTATTTGATGTATCAATCAGTTTGGCATCCTGATGAAAGTGGATACTCCATGGTGGAAAATGTTGTCAGTTCCTATTGATTTACAATGTGCAGAATTATTCTGAAGGACTTTTTACCCCTAAGTGGCTCTGGAGACTTAAGACTCATATTCACATATAGCACACCTAGTTATGTCTCATTTCTTAGAATCATAAAAGGAAAAAGAAAAGCAGAATTAAGNAAAAGTCGAAGAGACGTTCTGAGATTTTCTAAAATTAAGCAAAGGGAGATTTAAAGAGCTAATGCTAATAGTTTGCGGTACCCGCTGCATGTTACACCTGACGCAGATCGGTTGGCCCGCAGTAGCTAATTGGTTTATACGTCTGCATTACTCGGCAGGAAATCTTTGGATTGCATTCCACCCGAGTAAACTAGTGAAGTTTTTCCTAAGCTCTTGCACAAGGACTTAGTATATAAATGTATATGAATGTACATGTATGTCGGTGTAAGTTTCGCTATAATGATGAAAGATAAGAGGTCACACCTGCTTTGACTCCAGCTGTTCACCGGCAACTTCACTGGCAAAGAAAAAGCCACACCCACGCCTCAAGAATGCTCTGACGTCCTGCTGCTTAGCATGCCTCATGCAATGTGCGAGAACCTTTGCGCATCCTGCATGTGCCGAGTTCCGTCAAAAGGATGCCGCTGCCATGCAGAGACGCACCACCTCCTGCTCCAGCATGTAATCTCAAAATAGTTACTTTAAATGATGTATTTTCCATGTATTTTCCTCACAATAGCAAGCAACTTTCTTCCATTTGGAGCTGGAGTTGGAGATTTTCGGCTTTCTAATCAACGGAGAATAGTAAATATTATTTTCTTCAGAGTATACTAGACTATTGGCGCCTCTTGGACTTTTTAAATGTGTTTTTGCTTGGCCTTTTCCTTTCAACAACTGTTCAAATTCTGTGCATACGCTACTAGAGACATCAAAATTTTCTTTGTGAAGCCTGTTCTACCTCTCGGGCGCCAAGTGGACTACTCTGGTAGGACACCTTTTGCATTTGTAATTAACAGGTTATACAGCTACTGAGACTAAATTGCAATCCTCATTCAACAAGCCTTTTTTAAGCCGGTGTGGATATCTTTGACGTGGGAGTCAACCAGATACCACACCAATTCTGAGAAACCTGGCATTATTCTGGAAAGTGTTTACAAACCAGATCCGTTTCTTGCCATTGATGTTATTGTTGGCAATCAATCACTTTTAGTTTATCGGCACCCAAAGGCAAACACCAGGTGCATCAAACTAATCCAAGATCCTAAAACAGTCTCAAGAGTTGCTTGCTTGCGGTCAGTGTTCAGTATCGGGGGTGATTTTGGGCTGGGTTTGTGGGATGAATTTTGAGCTTACATGCAGATCTCTGTTGTTCGCAGATCACTGGGAAACCGATATGTAAGATGCCAAGATGCTTCTGTTTCTCACATGTGTGCCTGGAGAACCTCTATTGATATAACCTGTACAAGCTCTTGCGTACACTAGACAAGGTTAAGTGCGCGTAGTTTTAGACAATCCACCGGCTGCTTCACAATTTTATTAGGCCAGGTTTATGGTTGTCGTGACTGAGATTTTTGTAGTTTTCTATGTCAATGATCATCTGTTGCAGTCTTTGTCACGGGGCTCCTCACTCCTTATGTGTTGTAAGAATTTGGGGAATTCCTTTCAGATTTACGGGGGGGGGGGGTGCAGCAGGAATGTGTGGCATCACAGGACAGCGGGTTAGCGTATCTTTTTTTCCTTGCTTTGCATCAATGAGACCTAGGTTGAATCCCAGCTTGGCTAGGCTTTAATTGCATTTGGTTTCCAGTCCATAATCACTGTCTCTGGTTGGTTCCGCCTACTCTGGTTTCCTCTAGCTGCCTCTAAAACTGGACTTTCTTTTTAACTCAGTTATGTGATGCTGATTGATAAAGGTTATGAATAGACATATAGTTATTGACGCTAATAGCTTGAAGAGCTGAATAAAATAACAGTTTTTAACCCCATGATGCAGTATTATAAAAACGTGCTTTATAAGATGGGTCGTGTTTCATCGATGGGCCTTTTCCATCTGTAATTCCAGGTTTAAGTACTGTTAGTTTTTTGTGGGTCTGTTGTGTTGTTGTCGAGTCATTACATATCCTGTTGCGCAAAAACAAAAGTCGGTGTATCATTCTCGCTAACAAAATGGGGTGTAAATAAAACGCTGTTTACACGTCTATCAATATGCACTGACCAAAAACTGGAAAGAATGGAGCTCTGCAGTTGGCAACCTGACTTACTCCTGACATGTTTTCCTGTTTGCTTTACAGTTCTTTACTTCAAGGAAAGATATTATATCACCGACTATTAGCCCACCGAATTTCTTTCCTTTTTGCAACGAGCTGCATGAGAAGATCTACGTAAGTATAATGTGTAAGAACACAAAAGTAGTGTCAGAAGTTGATCGTGATAAAACTGAATGCGATACCCAAAATGAAAAACAAAGTTATAAGAAGCCTCTAAGTACAGTTTTTGAGAACTTCAAATTTCAGAAGCCTTGCTCAAGTGTTAAGCGCAGGGTTGTGCTGTCTGAGCTCCATAAGGCAGTTGCAACAGCAATTTAAAGATTCACAGGATTAAAAAATTATCAGAAATGAGAGTTATTTGCAAAAACGTTGGCAAAATCTTGACAGGCACTGACATACATTTTTGTGTCTGTAACAAATATTTTTTTCAGCTAATCGTTTGCAAATTAACTTGACACATCGTTTGTTGTTCATTCATTACAGTTCACAGATAATGGTGTTATCATCCTATCCAATGATCAATATCTTTACAAACGAGCTTTCCCCAGCGCACGAAGCAGGTCATTCACTGGCCGAACTAAAATGGTAGCTCCATTTTGGGCAGATGTCAGAGCCGATTTGTTTCCTTCACCGGGGGATGTCTTCTGGCACGTAAGTTTCCAGGACATTTTTGTGAAGTGCAGAAGGCATTGAGTAAGATGCTTTTTCCAGCAATGTTACGGTTAACACTAGTCGAAAGGTCTGAAGTAATTCCAAATAACCAATGAGTAAGACCGACATCTCCAGCAACATTCTATGTGCGGGGAACCTAAAGGCAAAAGGTGTAGGTGTTGACAAAATCTATACAATTGTCCGCTCACATTTTTGGGTGCCATTTTTACATTTCGTCGTACTATTGGGTATATTTTTTATGGCCCACTTTGCAGATTTACGATGAAAATGATCCACGGATGTTGAGTACTTTGAGCGGCATGGTATCAAGACGATATGGTGGTTTTACCGCAGCATGGGCCCTGGTCGTTACATGGAGTCGCATGCGAGCCTTTTCACCTGACACTGTACGTATGCAATATGACGCCATAAGGTCTGTACTAGTTTGAACTTTTGTGTTTTGAAGCACTTACCATTTTTCCAGTGCAATTGCCAACTCCACATTTGTTGTTTACCCGGGTACGATACAGTTAACTACAGTTAAGTTGGCCACATTCAGGGACAATATGGTGCAGCGTAAGCTAGAATGAAATCTGTTTGACAATATTTCCAAACATTAGCATTGATTTTCGTTGAGAGCAGAGATACAATTGACTTTGCCATTGGCTTACATAGCATTCTTTTCATTACGCATATTCCCAGGGTACCAACTCCTTCCAAGCCGTGCTCGTGACAGACTACATTCATGGATACGTCATCTTCAACTATGATTACTGTGACATGAACTGGAATCCCAACCTCTTGGGGAACATAAATGTCATCCAAGGCGTCTCTTGTGGGGGGGTTAGTCCACCAATCTATCTACCTATACCCAGCAGCTCGATTTTCCGCCCAGGAAGGGTCAATGGGAATTATGGAGAGTTAGGGCGCTGGTTGTACCAAGTTGACACCCTGCCAATCGGATTTGTCAATCCGCGCCTGTTTTGTCGGACCTGGCACAGACGGCAGAGCTTTGATTTTCTATTCTACTTCTACTACCTAGCTCTCCGTGACACTTGTCCCTGCAGTTTGTTCATGGCCCGGTTGGACAGAAGATATTCTCCCATCAGTTACTCTTACGTCCTGCCTACTCAGAGACGCCGTGGATTTGGTGGGTATATTTGCTAGGTACTTTTTTTGGAAAAGAAGCTATTTACTTTTCAAGTTAAGAATCTATGATATATCACAGTGGTACAGTTAATTCCGTCGAATGCCATCACTCTCACACTACAACTGGCGACTTGTTAAATGTACACTTGAGGTGAGGACCCTAATCTATTAATTAATACACCCTTTGTGTAATTTTACAATTTTTAATGAGAATCTCTCCGCTATTTTCTTGTAGTTGCCATCTGTTATGTCCGGTTGTGGCAATTCCCTGGTACCCCTGGCCCGCAGTGCTGCTACAACCTGTTCTCCTGTGATCTCCTTTATGACGTTCGAAGTCCTCGGGTTGCTTCTGTCATGGAAAGATACCCGCTCAGCCCCCTGTTTTTCTCGTCTTTCCTGCTCCAACGGTGGTATAGTAAGTAGAATGTAAACTAAAACAAAAAACAAACTTGCAAGTCTTAACACTAAAGGAGCTGGGTTTATTGACCCATCTCACAGCCAGGGTGGGTTCTGCCCCCTAAGAACTCGGCTGTGTTTTGCTGGATTATTTTGAAACCCGACATCTGCATGTCTCATTGTTGTATCATAGTTTGGTTGCTTTGTTGGTCATTTGAAGTTCAGGGCTGTGCGTACCAGCAGGCGTGTATCGATCATTGGAGTGGAAAATGTTTACCTTTTTGGCTTACCCGTCTCGGACAAGTGCGCGCTGCGCAAAACAGTATATCCGATTTCCACAGAATCGATGCCAAAATGACAGAAAACAGTTACTCTATAAATTCTTATACGCTGAGTTCCTTAAGAATTGAACTCTGGCGATATTGGGAAAACTGGTGAAGGGGGGTCGATTTCGCCCCCAGTTCTTTACTGTTAAGCAACGTCAAAAGAGTGTCCAACAAACGGTTTAGTGGAACAAAAATTAGTCACATTAAGCCGAGTCACGACATCTTATGAAATAAAAAGGGCAGTAAGGCTAAAGCCTTGTATAAAAGAATGTTTTTCATTTTATGCAAGGCCAGAGGATGATAACGAAATCAGACGATTGTCTTGCTCAAAATAAATTTGGGGCTTGTAATATAACAATTGGGATTTGAAGACAATGAAACGCCCAACATTCCATTCATTGTTGATGGAATATGTGTCTGGGAGATGCAGTGCTTCATATAAACCTGTCGGCCCGCATTGAACTTCCAGTACTGTAGGCCTATTTCTAAATGTTACATTTCAGTTTTGTTTAAAGTCTGTGTTGTAATTGACAATCGTTTAGTACAGTGTGCTTGCCATTTTATTCTTGTGTTCAGGCTCGACTTGTGACGTATAGTAGAAGATCAGTGTAATCACATATGAACATGATCTTCTGTGGCACCATTCCCTTTGATAATATAACTGTTCAGCGCAATGAACCCAATTCTTTGATTATAATCACAGACGAGGAAGTGCTGGCACGCTACTACTGCTGTGAGGTTTCCACACTCTGCTACTTGTACAAGCAGTATAGACCACTTATGACTTGCCGCAGATACTTCCCACCATTTTGGTGTAAGTGCAAAATCATGCCTAAGAGTCATGCGCAAAAAACAGATTATGTAACATGACTTGTACGTCTTGCTATAAATTCCGTTGTGTTGGCGTCATATAATTGCATGCATACACTGACTCACAAAGATCCCTGATTGGACTGAGAAAGTCCTCTCTTCTGCTCACCCATCGAAATAATTTTAATGTTGTTTGGGTGTTTCACTTGTTTGTTTTCATTTGCTTTTTATGCTGTGCTGTATCTAGCCTGGTATTAGCTTATAAACTGTGCTAAGTTTGCTGTAATGCTTGATGAATGGCCAATCATTTGAAGACTAAAATGATCTTTAATGTATGTCAGCTTTCGAAATTTAGACGATCTAGTTGGATACTTGTCTTTAATTTATTTTTGAAGAGGTGTCAGTTTCTGTCAATAAATACTTATTTATATTGAGCAGGTCTTGCATATTTTGTTTCCTTCATTCTTTTCACCATGTGCTTGGAAAGTCAAGCAGAACTTGTGCATTTTGCAGAATCGATTTACTGTTTGTTTTCCAAAATTGTACACATTTAAACAAAATTTAACATTGAAAATGCCTCAAAAATGCTTCACTTCAGTAACTTAGTTATAACTGTCGCTTATTTCGTAGTCTGGTTCTGGGGAGACCCCCACGTCAAAACGCTGGACGGGGTTGAGTACACCTTCAATGGTCTGGGAGAATACACGATTGCGCTCATCGAAGGTGACGATGGGCAGAAGCTGTTTGAACTTCAAGGCAGAACACGGCGAGCCACCAACAAGGAAACCGGAGAGCTAACTGACGCCACATTCTATTCGGGATTTGCTGCACAGTTTGTCGGAGTTGGACAGGTTTGAGACGCTTTACATTTATGAACACATCTAGTTACATAATCAACAGAGGGAGCCTTAAATTCAGACTCATATGAGCTCATGTAGATTCAGTCTAAAACAGGTCAGTGCCCCTGAACCACGCATTTGTGATATATTTACTTTATTGCATAATGTCTTCAGCTTTTTAATCTTGATGAAAGGAGGTTCCTTGATGATACACATGAGCCCTTAAACAAGTGAATTTAGAGGTTCTTACATATTGAGCAGGTATTTCCGTGCTCTGGCTTCTGAGCCTAACTCTGTACTGTCATAAATTTAAATTTGTCTTCTCATGCTTAACTAACAACTCGGACTAACTGAAACAGATCCATGACGAGAAAATAAGAACGCCCTTAGCTTGAATCTTTGCAATATGGTTATCTCTAAAACAATTGATCTAGTGATTTTCCTTTCCAGGTTGAAGTCAAATTAAACAGCGATGCCACAGATCTGATAACAACAGTCAATGGTGATGTTGTCACTCCCACGACCGAAGGTAGGCTACGTCCTGTAGTGATATGCAGCTGTTTATGATGGATTAGCGATAAAACCCCTCCTGCCAATGGCCCAACTTCTTTCAAACAGAATACGCGAAAATATGATCATATATTCTTTGAATGAAAATTCATCATATAAAGTAGTTGTCCGCCTGTCTTCTACTAGGGCATAAATCATGGCACAGAGAAGGCATGTTATAATTTTTTAATCACCAATTATATAGGAATCTGTAAAACTCGACAGGTGACTTATTGGAACTTGTAAATCAAGTTACATTTAAAGTAGAAGTTTTATACGCCATTGTTGACAAATAATCGTCTAATGAATAAGTAATATTCTGAACCCTTACGAAATTCAACAAATTGGCAGCGTAACAAGAATTTTTACTTAAAGCAATTTAACTTCAAGCACCCAATAATGAAAGAATTTTCTTATCAATATTGCAACGAAAATATAATATACGACCGCGACTAACTTATAACCATGTGTCTATACAGGGGGTGATTACTGCAAAAAATATTCAGTCTATTTCGTCAATATCTGCAAACAGTTTTCACAATCAAACTCAGCTATATTTGTTCATCACGAAAACAAATATATTGAACTGCTTACAAATTTATTTGAGGTCATTAAGTTCCAGAATAGATATGAGCAGAGAATACTAATTTCAGCAATAATAAATTTTCTTTAATTTTATACAAAAAGTGAAGAAATGAGCCTTTCACAGCTTAGGAGAAAACCACTCAGGATACGAAAACCAAACATCGTTTTCCTTTTTGGTATGTCGGATATTGTAGAATTCTTTTTCAGGAATGATTGCAATTGGATATAACTCTTATTTCAGGATTGCTCATTGGCAATTTAACTGTCAGAAGAGAAAATGACACTAAAGTTACTGTCATATACCCTGATGATGTCCAACTTACTGTGGGTGTAAACAACAGCATTGGGGATATCACTGTCCAGCTCGGTCAAACCTATAGGGGGAAAACGAAAGGATTACTCGGTGAGTACATTCCAATTTGTATCAGCAATCAAGTCATCAGTGCCATGTAAGTTTTTGTTGGACTATTGAACCACAAACCTTGTAATGGACATCAGCTCTCCTACCTGTCAGTTCTGCTCCCATCATTAAATTCGATTGATTTCCTCGAGGTAGCAGCTATTGAATTAATAGATGTTGAACTCGATTTGTTTCGGATTAGGCGTTTGGGATGGTGACCAAAGCAATGATGCTCTACGACGGGATGGTACTCAGCAACAAGCCACTGGACAAAATGGAGAAATGCTGGAACGTGATTTCTATAACTTTGGTGAAACCTGTAAGTCAAGCAACCAGAATTGTAGACTACGTGTTTTTGAGAAAATACGTTGTAGTCCTGATCACGGTCAGTGTGAAAGACCCATAAACCAACTCAATCTTCTATGAACTTTTATTTTTCTCTATCACTTAGAGTTCATTGATATGCGTTCAATGCACTCTGAAGGAACTCCTGAAAAGTTTTTCAAAAAATTTTAACATTGTTTCCTGCGGTTCAGCATCCGTAGGTTAAGCAATGAGAATATTTTGGGCAAATGTTTCAGGTGGAACCTTTAGTCATTGTGCAAACATATTGAAAGAGCTTTGCTTTTGATTAAATGATATATTTTATAGTTTGTATCTCAAAATCTCTTGTGTGAGATGCTTATCTGGTTCTGAGAAGACTCAGTTAGCTTGGATCTTTAGGAAAGCAGGTCATAACCATCAGCAGAATAATGACTGTCATCTATTATGATTATCCCTTCTTTTCTATTAATCCTCTAAGGGCGTATCTCTGCAGAGAATTCTCTCTTCTATTATGTTTCTGGTGAAAGTTGGGCAGTGTCCAATGCCCATTCGTTCGTACCACAGTTCTTGGAGGATTTGATTGCAAGCGCTCCTCAAGACAAACTTCAGAGAGCACAAGAACTCTGTGGCGATAGCAAGATGTGTTTGTATGACACACTGGCCCTGGATGACGAAACTGTCGGGCAGGCTACGATGATGATCAATGCGATGAACACAGAAAGCGAAAAATCAGGAAGTAAGCTAATGCAATAACCCCATGTATTGAAGGAATAAGATTTTCTGCAACCTTGCATTGGCACCTTCGTGCACTTATGAGAAATTTGCGCATAATTGGTTCCATACAATCGTAAGCACGGTACTTTTAAGCGTCCCCACAGTTCAAGTCCATGGGATGGTTCATTTTGCCAAAATAAACAAATAATTTAATTGTTATTTACAAAGGTAGCGCTTTCCGGAAAAATCGTAAAATCAATATACCCTTCTAACAAACCTTAACCGACTTGATACTTTATGCTTAGAAAATGCCATGTGTGCATGACAGAGCTGGCACATCTTCCCCTTAAGCACTTCCTATATATTACACGTTGTGAATAAAGATTGTACTGGGATGTGAAATAAAAACCATTCTTAGTACAAAACATCTGTTCTATCAATTTGTTGTTTTAAGAGTTGTATACAGAATACAGCAATGTTGCAATTAATGAAACGTTACTCCGTAGCTAATTTCCCTCCGAATATCACACTGGCGGACAACTTCACCGTGACGGTGGGAGTGGAATTCTCCTACCAACTAGAGGCATATGATCCAGACGGGGACGCCATCACTTTTACTCTGCTTGAGGCAGTTGCAGGGGCATCCATCACCGAACAAGGTAAAGACGGCGACAGCATAACACTTTCTAGCTTACGCCTAGCTATTCTGCTTTGGTACACATTCTTTTGTCACTAATTGTAGAACCAGATTGCAGTTGATAGCTAATAGTGAAAGTTTTGTATCAAACACAGAATATTTCCTGACATAAATTCGTCATAAAATTTAAACGTTTGGTAATTAGTAATTTCTTTTCATGTATGCAAGAACTCCTGTAAAAAGTCATACTACCTAATATCTAAAGGTCCATGAGTTGAAACATTGGTTTGAATTTGAAAGAAATTGCCTGTCGTCTCGATCTGTTTTCATTTATAACAGGGATCCAATTTCCAGGAATACTGTTTAATAAATTGTCTGCCTTGATATGTCCAAACGCTTACCTTCGTAGGTGGTCTGTTCACTTGGACACCAGTGGACAAGTCAAAGGTCATGGTTGGTTTCCTTGCAACTGACGGCCTAGCTAATGCTACTCTGGAACCGATTGTACAGCTATGCGATTGCATGAATAGCGCCACGTGTCTTTGGGGTCAATTTGTGATGGGCACAGAACTTGTTGCAGACCGTTTTGGGGTGAGTGTGGAAGAGTGCTTGCTCTTCCTTGATAAAGACTGGCAGTGGTGACACATATATGTTGTGTTGGATTTAAAAACTAAAGAACCTTATTTAATCTTTAGTGAAGGTGAATACCTTACAGTGTGGCTGACGTATTTGACGCAAACCACCCTTTTCATTATGTTTGAAGGAATTAAATCAAAGCGCAGGCTTTTAACAAATTCTGCACTGTTCTGTGTTATATATTCCAGGTTAAAAGAAGCAATGAGCGTAGCCTTTAAAAATAATAAAACAATTCAAACCATGTAAAAAAATTAAAAGAAATGAACATGGCATGAAATGTCCGCGGCCAAATCATCAGAGTGATTCCTTTTAAAGACAGAATACGATTATCTAATGTTGACATTCTCATTTTGGTTGTGTGTGCTGTCAGGTCGTTCTTTGTGAATGTGAACCTGGCTGGTCTGGTGAATTCTGTGAGGAGAATTATGACGCATGTGCCGACAACCCTTGTTTCACGGGGGTAGCTTGCTTTGACGAGGAACCGCCTTCACTTAACAGCACTTGTGGACCCTGCCCTGACGGGCTAGAGGGTGATGGAAAGTTTTGCCAGGGTAAGTAAGGGAATTGTTTCACATCGGTGAATTTTCCAATCCAATGATCACACAATTAAAAAAAAGCCACCTGAGGTTTTGATGCGTCAAAAGCGACGAAGCATGGCATTTCGGCCACTTCATGTGCAAGTGAACTGATTTATCCCTGATAAAGGAAGATGTTTCTTTGGCAGAGATGGAGGTTGCAGCTTATGTTCATTTCTTATGCAGATATTGACGAGTGTGAGCTATATAGAAGTCAACCAGCCAGCAGTGGTGGAATGGGTTGTGATCAAATATGTACAAATACCCTCATGAGCTACAACTGCAGCTGCAACTCTGGTTTCACTTTATATCTGGATGGCAGGAGATGTACTGGTACGTGCTGTGTTGTAGTTTTATTCAAATATAGAGATGAACTTAGGACCAAATGCAGTCTTGAATCCTTGAAGTGGTTTCCCTTGCAGTTGAAATATTTAGGCAGTCTCATGGCTTTTTGCAAATGATCTTGCATGCTACTTGAAGATCTGTCTCCAGAGGCGCTCTTAGCAAGTCTCAACCCATTGCTGCGACAAAACTATTATGGCACTGTTCCACAGCCGTCAACGGCATCAAACTTACTTGTACAGGTTGATTTTGGAAAGGCGGAAGGGAATGATTATTGATAATGATACTAATACCAATACCATTCTTCTATTCCAACCGAACATGTGTTTATGTGAAGATCCCAGGCACTCCTCAGCAAATACTTCTAAAATGTTTGACGTTTCTACCTAGATATTGATGAATGTGACCTCCAGACTGACAACTGTGACAGCAACGCTTTGTGCAACAACACCCAGGGAGGCTACAAGTGCAATTGTAACCCAGGCTTCAACGATGACCTTAGGGATGGAACGATGTGTTCAGGTAAAGGGGTGAATAGAGCAGTGATGATGTTGAAATGATGGTGTCCATTATATGCATTTCCAGTATTTTCTTAGATGGAGCAAAACACTCATCAGTGATAATTCCGAGGTAATGTAAAGCAGTGTGATAAGCATCTTCTGCTAACCGGTTAGCTTCAATTTAAATTGCTATACTCTAAAAATCAACACACAAGCAACAGGAAAGTCTTAACTCCATGTTAGCGAAGAGTCACAAAAATAATAGCACCGGTGACAACACAGAAAGTACAGTTGAAGGTTGCAAACTAGATTTTCTCTTTCAGACATCGATGAATGCAGCGAAGGTGGAAGCAACAACTGCAATGAGAGTGCTCAATGTGACAACACTGTTGGCTCATATCGCTGTACGTGTAATGATGGTTATGAAGGCGATGGCATAACATGTTCAGGTAAGGCCATTAAGTTGCCTAATTCTGTTTAGTAGGCTACTTAAATCAGTGGATTTACAGTACACTAAACAAGCAGTCATTTATTCCCGGAAGAGGTAAGTTTTAAACTCCAGTGATGGTATCCTGTCCGCTTCCTGCAGTAATCACTGGTACCAATCCTTTATTGTTTCCAGGAGGTACACGCAGCAGGCACAGACTTAAATTATGTTTATATTATATTGTATATTTTATATTATATACAAAGGTGATTGACCAAGTTCAAGAAAATATTTTCATTAAAACTCTGCCCGTCCCCAACACAGACAGGGTTCATAACTTTCCCGAGGCAAAATAGAATAGATGTTGATATTTTCATAATTCAATGCGTTCACAGTGGGACTTGTAAATGGTTTGAGCAGCCCATAATATATTTAGACAATCCATGAATTCCATCGGTCATTTTAGCAGATATACCATTTGTGAACACTTCTTGTAGAAGAACATCGACCGAGAGCCAATCGCAAGGGTCAAACATCACCTAACAGTGTGGTATATTTTTTAGAAGCACCGTCAAAATTGATGACGAGATGCAATTTGAAGAGCAAAAAGGCAAATTTCTGCTGTTTCATCATATCATACTCTGATGTTGTTCACATTTACGCTCTAAAGTGTTAAAAGCAATTGAGTAAACTTATCTTTTTTTCACAATTTCCTCGCAGAATGACAGTTGTGCTTGGTGCAATGGCTTAAATTGATCGACCAAAGATGATGAGCCACATAAAATAATAATGAATGGCAAAATGAAATTTTGCCTTGCTTTTTGTGTCGCCTTAGATGTGAACGAGTGTACGAGGAGCCTTCATGACTGCCACGTCCAGGCAACGTGTTCAAACAACGTGGGATCATTCAGCTGTGCATGTAACGATGGCTGGACTGGCAACGGCGTCAACTGCACCAATGTTGATGAATGTTCGAGACCATTACCAGTCTGTGATACCAATGCTGAGTGTACAGACACACCGGGCAGCTTTTCATGTCGGTGCAATGCAGGATATGCTGGCAATGGAATGATGTGTGTGGGTAAGCAAAGCTCACATGAGGTACGAATGGAGGGTGTGCGGTTGACAGTTGGTCCCTGAGTTACTAAAAATAAAATAGTGGCATAGCATTTTGAATATTTTTTCACTACCGCTTACACTCTATCATCACTATTACTGTTTCTCAGATATAAATGAGTGCACTACAGGTGAATCAACATGTCATTCTGAACTCGGAGAGTGCACCAACACAGATGGCAACTATACCTGCAGCTGTAGGCCTGGATACACTGGGGACGGTAGGAACTGCATCGGTAAATACACAATTTGGTTTTACAATTTCTTAGTTCTACCTAGTACCCGTAACATTTGGGCCGTTTTCCAATACTCAACTTCGTCTCCATCTCAGGCTTCTTGTAGGAAACCAATCCTCGATTGTGGGCCTGAAGCGTTTAACTTAAATTGAAATACTGTAATGTTTCGCTCTTTTGCATCTTACTTACAAATGCGCTTATAACCTCAAAGTCAGCATGTAAAAAAACCGTTGAAGCCGGAAACGGAGCCCAAGTCGAGTATTGGAAAACGGCCTTGGACAAAAGTTGACAAAGCCCTAGCAGTCCGGAATTCCAAATTCAAAATGATTTTACGTATACCCAAGGGGTAAGGGTTAACCCTAAACTATATGACAGTTGTTGGACCTGTAATGCGTTACATTACTCATGGAAGGGACACTCGGATTGTTAGAGTTGAATTACCATAGAGTTTACCCCACATCTATTCCCTTGTGAAATACTGTTTAAATTCCTGTGAATGGAATTGGAACTTGGCAGCGTATGGCCATCAGAACAGAAACTGACGACTTAAGTGTGGTTTTATTTCTGAGATTGGTGATAGTACACATCCAAAGAGGAAAAAATAGGGATCACTGTAATTGCTGGTATAAAACTGAAAATGCAAAGATGTCATTATAATTTTAGGTACGCTTTCAGTTCACAAACTTTAAGTAAAAAAAATCAACATGCCGAGTGTCAAACAATGTTTCACAAATAGAGAAAACGTTATCCGCTGCAGCAAGTATGTTATCTTACCAGTGACCTGCAGGGAGAACTAATGCGTATGATAGGTGATGTTTCTAGTCTCAATGCGTAAAATGTGTTCAAATACACCTTGCGGCAGCTGGCAATAGCAGATGTCAAATTTGCCTTTGGTTTACACACAGATATATGCTCAGCTACCTCTTTCTTTTTTTTAAGATATCAATGAGTGTGTTGGGAGTAATGAATGTTCTGGGAATGCCAACTGCACCAATACGGAAGGTAGCTTTGAGTGTGACTGTAGAATGGGATACACTGGGGACGGTTTCATGTGTTCCGGTAAGATGTCAATTAACTAATATATAATTAACCGTGGGTCCGAATTACATTGTGTCTTGTTAATCTTTTCTCCTGCAGGTTGAGTTCAAAAAAATTTGAAGGCTTTTCCGATCCAGTTTTGTTGAGGTCATTACCTGGATTGTGTACTGTTATATAATTGTTCATGTTTGTAGACCCGTACAGTGCAGTGTCCCACCAAGCCATTACGGAACAGTTAACACTGTTTGGAGATCCTGTAGGCTACTCAGTGAATTGTGCTTCATCTTTTTGACAAATATTGGAAGTTACTCCTGATGAATCAGTGTTTTTGTTATTTGTATTAAGTTGTCATATCAAGTTTTGAGACACATTGAAGTAGATGAGAGTCGATGTGAAATTTTTGTTACCTTTTTCCAAAAAGACCTCCAGATACAGCAAGACACGTATTAAATTAACTAAAGGGTTTGAGCAAAGAGTTGAAGGCTGCTAGATTGAGCAGCGTCTCTACGACTTGACGAAAATATAATAACCAAGAAACATTGGAAAAGAAAGGGGCGCAGTTTAACAGACAGTTTGGAGGATCCAATATGACACAAAGAATACAGGTGAAAGAAGACCCAGCAGGAGTCAAACACTGAAGGATAAAAAAATTTAGTAAGTGCTATTACAGGAAGTAGGTGTTGAACGCTGAAATACGGGGGCGTATATTTGACACGGCCAAACTGAAATTCTGCCTACTGCTCCATCGACCTGTTTAAAAGGAAAAACCACCTGATCAATCAACACGATCTGTGGCTTCTGGGTGGTATTTGTCTTCACGAGCCGTTTTCATAAAATGGAATTTTGGACAATCGTTGAGGAAATGCAGCTGACCTGGCCATTCTGGCCAGGATTACAATTTTAAAAAATCTAATAGAGGGTTTTGCTATAAAAAGGGGAAACTAAGATAAATAGTATCTAGAAATTGAAATAAACTTGCTGAGGGCATACTTCCGTCATAATAATAGATTTATAGGTAGTAATGCTGTGAACAGTAATTGTTGTTTCAACCACATCTTCAGTCCTAACTGTCCTCACCACCACCCACTTTTAAGTAATGGTATATTGTTCTCTCATGAGTATAAGTATTTTGCTTAATTTTGTACAGACATCGATGAGTGTACTCTGGGAATTGACAACTGCCAGCAAGTTTGTTCAAACAACATGGGATCATTCATTTGTACGTGTGACGTTGGTTTTAGGATGGTAGACGAAGTCTGTAAGGGTAAGATGGCGATTGAATTTTAGCAATTCGAGCTATAGAAATTAAGCAACCCAAATTCTTGAATGAAGCAATTATAAAGCAAGGGTTATGTTATGATTCTGTTAAAAGAAAGAGGCCACGGAAAAGATGCAACAGCTTAGCTAGGCCCGTTTTGGGGGTGTTTACATGACTTTTAATGATATAAAATGTGCGATATTATATTCAATATTAATTGACGTCACTTGAGTCGTAAAGGTACCTGAATGTTTTATGAAACATTTGAGGTGTAAGGATGTAATTGGCCTTTAGAACCCCACTTGCTCCAATCACTTAATATCAAAAGTCACGTGCCAGCAAAAAAAGTAAATATTCGGAAAATACATCATGTCGGAGTACCAGTTCATCTTAAAAAGTTAGTGTAGCCACGCTTCAGGCGTTTTTTTTAAGTGTGCGGAAATCGCCGCCCCTTGTTTGGGTGAAATGACCCTACGCACCGTTCCTTCGCAACTGGCCGCGTCTTTTTTCAGCATTCCTTACAGAGTAACTACAGGCTAACTAAGCATAACAAATGTCTCCTGTTCAAAACAGTTGGCGAATATAACTTTGACTTGTGTGTAGAATATAATGCTAATGTTAAAAGAAACAAACGGCTATTTACCAATTTGGAAAATTGCACTGTGCATCCATCAATGCACTTAGTTTTTGGGCACCGTCATACGTTAGCCAGTTGCAAAGCAAACGTATTTGTTGACATAGTAAGAGTCCATTTTGATAGTTATGTTTAATGTTTCCCCTGCATGAAATTTAGATAGGGGATGGGGGATACGCGCAGATGCCGCAGTTGAATTAATTTTTGCTAAGAGAATGTACAGATGTACTATATTATAGGGTAACTTTTCCTCTCAGCAGAAACTTTCTCGTTCCCGGCCTTGACTATAGACTGAAAAATGTGTGTTTATAAACATTTGAACAAGGTAGATTTGTGGATGTATAAGAGATTGAAAAAAGTGTCAGTTTTCTCTCGATGACTTCAGCATGTGCATGTTTGTTATATTCCTGCAGCCAACCGTGCTTGTATGGGTAACAATTGTACCCGTGGTGTCTGCTTCATGAACAATACCATTGACACGTGTAGATGTGATGCTGGATATGCCACTGTAAATGATTCCTATGTGTGTGAAGGTAATTGATCATGATTTTCTTCCAGCAACGCCACATGCCATCCTTTTTGGAATTACCCTGTAGATTTTCCAAATAGTAGGGTATCATTGGGGTTAGCACAGACCGGTGAAGCAGCACTTTTCGTGTGCCCCCTCCAAAAAGACCGAAAATTGAAATGATCATAAAGAGGTTATAAGTCTCTGCGGACAGACGTAGCCATTTGCATGGTTACACAAATATTTGGTAATAAACAACGTGGACACTGCACATCTGTTCGATGTTCACTGATTCGTCACACCCTTCTGGCTTTCATTTCAATTTTCACATTTACCCAGTGATCCTGTTTCCACATCTTATAAAAATACTTTCAGCACTTTATAGTGATCCTTCAAAATAGTGTTGTATTCTTGTTGAAAATGTTTCATCTCCGGTGCTGGTCAATTATTAAGGACATTTTCCGATCGACGAAAATGCTTTTTAACCTTTGCATTTCTCGCCGCGTCTTAGATATTGATGAGTGTACCAGCCCAAGTAACCTTAACAGATGTGGAGACAACTCAGTGTGTAACAACACACTGGGCGATTATCAGTGCATCTGCAATGCCGGTTACACTCTCAATAATGACCAACGGAGCTGTTCAGGTAAACCCAAATATCCCAAGTTCTATTCACTTCTCTCCTCCTAATAGCATCGAAAGATGCATGCAAAGAGGACACTGTTCAACTCCTTATAGTCAGCATCTCAAAATACAGTTAACTCTCATCACAACAAAAATAAAGGGACCAGACAAATACTTTGTTATAACCAGGACTGTAGTTATGAAAGAAGTGGAAAAGCAAAGAACACACAGAATTCAAGAAACTGGGGTTCCTGGGATGTTCTCTTTCATTAAGTATTTATAAAAGTGTTCTTCATGTCCAAAGTGAGCTGCATGTATTTGCCGAAATATTTATTCATTAATTATGTAAGTGCATTTGATTGCCAGATGCCAATGAATGTGACACTGGAACCCACAATTGTGACCTCATGAGCCAAGTGTGTGTCAACGACGAACCATACTTCAGATGTGACTGTAAATCTGGGTACAAAAGTGCAACCTTTAATGGATCTTGCACAGGTATTCATGAATCTAAACAATGGATTACTATGTGAATTTATTCGTGTCAGTAATCAGAGCAAAGAACACAGCAACCAGATGGGAGCCATTGCTCTGGTGGTGTAATACTCGCGCATAGGTGGTGGATGTGGGGTGAATGCTTCTTTGACTGATGAACTTTGCTTTGGCTCTCAAAAATATGCGCACGGAATATGAATTGTTGGAATGCGCATGAATATATTGCCACCCAATGATGGCGATCCCTCAGTCTAATCCAGATATGGTCTTTGACTGTGGCAGTGGGGAGAACAGATATCAACTAGTCTCTGCCCTCTTTGCATCTTCCTGTCTGGGCATAGTTGATTTATAAATTACATATCACTAATTTGTGATTCAAGGTGAATATACCCACGTTCCCAGTGACAATTCTGAAACCATCACATTATGGCCTAAAAGAAAATGAATAAGTAAAATTAGAAGCTTTGCAGAGTGGAAGTTACATGAGCTGTAGGTTTTGGAGTATACCATGGAAACCATCTTTTCAGGAGAGTGACTCTCCTGAGGACGGCCAGAGTATCCTGGCCGAAACGTTGAGTTAATACTCACCGGTTCTTCTCAGAACCACACCTCTTCTAAAGAGACAGATTCTATGGTGAACCTGCAAACCTACAACTCAATAAAAGTAGTGAAAGTAGAATTATGATTGACATATGCCTGTGGAAAAAGCATGATATTCAAATATGTCACAAGGGCAGCCGACGAGTTCATTGCTAGGTTGATCAAAGAAAATTGTCAGTGTTACGATTCGAGATGACAGACCTAAAAATATAATTAAAGTCTGGGGATATGCTTAGTTTGGGCTCTCCTGCCCAAGTCTCATGACAGTTGCTTTTTCATTAATTCCAACAGACATTGATGAGTGCTCAGCCGATAGTTTGAACAACTGCAGCACCGAGGCAGACTGTCTCAACAACAATGGCTCTTACACCTGTCTGTGCAAAGACGGATTCACTGGCACTGGACGGCAGTGTTTTGGTAATCACTTTATATTCTGAAATTTATAACGCTAGTTGTGAGTTACTTTGATGTAAAATTTATTTCAGTGGAAATTCTTGTGATAATTTCACTATTTTGGTTGGTGTCAAATATCTGGCTATTTTTATAATACAGATGTACATGTATGCATTACCAAAGATTTTCAATTAGAATACATAAGTTAAGGACCAAATCCCTTGTCATGGTTGTCTGAAAGTGACAATATTGCCCTTATCGGATTGATAATTTTTATCGTAGGGTATTGGAAATAATTGGATGTCGTGTATGTGGGTACATGACATTTTTCCGTTTAAAATACCCGAATTACAGTATTACAGCTTTCGTAAATTGCTTTCATTGAGGAAGGACCGTCATTGAGCAAAACTATTAAGAGTATTGGCAAAGCTAGTTGGTCTGTAATATATTTCTGTACTTAAGCCTTAAGTGCAAATACTGATTCCTCATATTATGGCTTGAAAATATATTACACCTTGCATATTTTCGTTGCCACCGCCCCAAACACATGTATTCATACATGTACATGTAACCAAAGTAGAATACTTATTTTCCCTAGCTACATATAACAGCTATATATAATATTGATGGAATTGTTCACGTAACTTCGGCTTTCAGGCCCTTTTTCTTTGGGCATTTATCTCACATCGAGAATGCATTTGAAATTTTCCTTTAGATATTGATGAATGCTCTCTGCCTGACAGCGACAGGCAATCTGCTAGCTGCAGCCCCATGGCGGAATGCACAAACCTTGAAGGCTCGTTCCAGTGCAACTGCACCATTGGATATGAAGGAGACGGAATGAGTTGTCAAGGTACGTATATATGGACATTACTGGTTTTATATGTTATCAACTTTAAAAAAAAATGAAAATGACGGTTTCCTTACTACATAAAGTTGTTCCAAAGTAGTTGTTTAGCTTTTCAAAATAGAAGAAATTTCTCTTTCGATTTTCTCAACTGCCTTTTTTCAGAAGAACGCTAACGGTTTATTGAAAACTGATCAATATGACAAAATAAAATGAAATATTAATTAAAACAACCTTTTTTGTGCATTGCGTGTTGATATATGGCTCTTTTTCAGATATCAATGAATGCCAGAATGAGGACTCTGCATGTGCGCCCAACAGTACCTGCACAAACAACAACGGCAGCTTTCTCTGTGAATGTGATGCTGGTTTCCGTGGTGACGGCTTTACCTCGTGTAGGGACATCAACGAGTGCGAGGAGAATCCTGATATGTGCCACACCTTAGCAACTTGTAGAAACACTGAGGGGAGCTACCAGTGTGAATGCAACAACGGGTACCAAGGAAATGGCACACACTGCGAAGGTATGAGGCAAATTACCAGATTCGACTGGGATGTTTTACATGTCAATCACTGGATTTGGATGCAAATCACTGTTTCCCACAGCAATGAAATGAGGTTTTCTTTAGAGAATTAGTGTGTTGGACGCTTTTGTCAATTAGTAAAATACAAAAAAGAATGAAGGAGCATATACTCCTATTCTCTGAATTTTAAATGAAACGTGGCTACAAATACATGCCCCACTTATTATATTTTGTACCTCTTTGCCTTGGTATTTTTGGTGTTGCAGAGTTCCGAATTAACACACTATTATAGCGAGTTTAGTTCCAGGGCGTCCCATTTGTTCTAGCTAGAGGCCTTTTATGAATATTAACCTCGTTTTTATCCTCATAAATGAAAGGTAGTAGTAGACAATATAAAATCTTTGACGTTCTCAAATCAATTTACCCATGCACGGATAACATAATTAAACAATCTTGGGATCAGTGTCTCCAACAACCTTAATCCTGCCGTAGTGATAAATTTCAATACATGTGGTTATACTTTTACATGATATTGTTGATCCTTGCAATAAGGTATTTCATTTACATTCCTTTTTAAAATTAAAATTTGCATCATTTTTCACAGACGTAAACGAATGCATAACCAGTGATAATGACTGTGCAACTCAGGCTTCAAACTGTTCGAACACTGTCGGCAGCTTTACGTGTCGTTGCATCGAAGGATACGTCACAGCTGAAGGTGCCCCAACTGGTAGACAGTGCAACGGTAAATATTTTGGTTTGTTTGATTTCATCATCAGTTATAAAGCAAGTCATGGATTTTATTCAGTCAAGGCTGGATCTAAAAGACTGTCGTGTAGCAGGTCTACACCACAAGGAGGTAGAGTGTTCATATTATACCTGTATGATATTGACTCCACAGATGTTGACGAGTGTGCACTGGAGATTGATACATGCGATAAAACCACATCTATCTGTAACAACACCATCGGTAGCTACCAGTGCAATTGTGTGGAAGGTTATGAGAAAAATGGTGCCAGCCAATGCGAAGGTAATGCAAATTTTACAAACTTTCGTCTACGCTAAGCATATCTAATATCTTCCAACCAGCGGCTCGTCTTCTAGAACATTGTTTGGTAGGCAGCAGTGTGATTTCAACTGATTACATCCTTTCAGTTGTAGACTAATTCATTAGCTGTGCTTTTCAAGAGCTTGGGATAAACTTTGTTAGCTCCTAGGTTTGAGCAGGTCACCAGAGTAGATTCAAGTACGAAACCTTTTGCTCTCTTAGCTGACCCCTTAAAGTACTTGAAGTCTGGTCTTGAAGGGGACGGAGAATTGATACTGGTGTTCTTATTTGACAACACACACAGCACAAGTATGGTGATGCAAGCAGTGAAGTGTACAGTCTTGTGTAGCTGGAAATGATATCATTTACTTCTGTATATTACCAGGTGAAACTCTGATTTTTGTCAAAATGTACTTGTGTCTCTTTGATGCATGATTAGATTGATTGTTTCCTGCTGTTTTATCTTCCATATTGCTTTTATCACATTACTTCAACTCACTAATGCAAAGTAACGAACACTTCCCTTTGATTTGAAATGTCGTCTGTGTGGTGGGAAGGCACAAATTGTATTTGACACATGAATACAGCGCTTACTTTATAAATTAATCTTTAATTGGTCTTCGTGTGTTAATATAACTGGCCTTTTCCCTAGATATCAATGAATGTTT